CACTGGGTACAGTCAGAAGCACAGGAGGGTGAGAGAATTCACCAGAGCCAGAGTGGGGAACAGAACAGGCAGACTGACAAAATGCACTGCTGAGGGGACCAGCGGGCATGTCAGGAGAGGTCTGTCACGCCATATGGGACTCTCGCGGTGGCCAGGGATCGAACCGCCACTGCAGAGGCTGTGGGCAGCTTCGCAGCCCAGCGCTCAACCACTGTGCCACCAGGGGAGGCCCATGCATTCAAATCTTATGAGTATGAGGGTTTTCAGTATCTCTTTGGAGGTGATGATTCCTATTTCTGCTGAAGAATTACTTTTTACTTTATTAACAAAGTATTTTTATAATGAGTTTAATAGAATTAGAAAAATGTCTCTAAATCCCCAGGAAGAACTTTCCACAAGTTTTCTTTTCTTAGGTTAACCATTTAAAGCAACAATTTTCAGCTAAAATAAGTTTCATCTGTGAACATGTCCCTACCTTATTTGTGTATAGGAAATGGACCTATACTGCCATCTGCTGTGTCAGGATTAGGTGAAAAATCACCCACATCACCACTTCACCCTTGAAGAACAAAAACTACACACAGACTTTGAAAAGACTTTGCTTTGTGGGAAATGAATACAAGAGAAAATATATACTTGCACTTATAATTTTTTAAAAGATTTATTTTTATTTATGCATACTAGAACTGGGGTATAGGCCAGAGGTGCAGGGGTGGGAGGGTGAAAGGATTCACCAGAGACTGAGTGGGGAGCAGAACAGGCAAATCTATTGAAATACACTGCCGAGGGGAGCAGCAGGCCAGGCAGGAGAGGTCTGCTGCACCATGTGGATTATCTTCGGGCGGGGAATTGAACTCATGCTGCAGTGGCTGGGGATAGCTTGATAGCGCTTACTTAACCCCTGCACCATCAGGCTGTCCCAGAATTATGTTTTAAATTGTGTTGGAAGCAAGTGAGAGGAGGAAGTAGTGTGTGTGTGTGTGTGTGTGTGTGTGTGTGTGTGTGTGGTGTATTTGATGTGACATAAAAAAAATAATATAGCAAAACCTGCATGACTACCACCTGCATCATAAACATTATCAATGACAGTGACACTCCCTTTTTGCCTCCCTGGTCCCATTTTCTACCACTCCTACACCCACCCCAAGGAAATCACTCTCCAATGCCATGTTTGTCACTGGAAAAGCTTTTAAAAGGCAAGTGCATAACACATGATTGGTAAATGTGTTTCCCTTTAAATTCCATGTGCTCCATCAAGGTTTACCCCTGAAGCTATCCACAGCCACTGCAGCAAGAGTTCAATCCTGGCCAGGGAGGTGACCCACATGGCGCAGCAGATCTCTCCTGCTTCACCCACTGCTCCCCTCAGCTGGTATTTCAGTCAGTCTGCCTGTTCTGTTCCCCACTCTCTCTGGTGAATCCTCTCACCTCCATACCTCTGGCCTGCACCCCAGTCCTGTTTGCATAAATAAATAAATCTTTAAAAAAAAAAAAAGAAAGGTGAGAGATAGAAGCAAGTGTGCCTACCTTGAGGGAAAGATCAGTTTAGGGGGCTTGGAGTTTACTTAAGAATAGTGGTGACAGGTGACATAAGATCAGGTTGGGCTTCTGAGCCTGTTTAGTCCTTTGAACTTAGTAGCTGGGGTAACAGAGTTTTTATGTTACTGAGAGACTTTAAGAAGCCTCTCCTGGTGGCGCAGGGGGTTGAGCACAGCACTGTGAAGTTGTCTGCAGCCTCTGCAGTGCCTGTTTGATCTCCACCAGCTGACCGGCGAGGGTCCCACATGGCGCACAGAACTCTCCTGACGTGCCCGCTTCTCCCCTCAGCAGTGTACTTGGTCAGTCTGCCTGATCTGTTCCCCGCTCTGGCTCTGGTGAATTTTCTCACCCTCTCGTGCTTCTGACTGTACCTAGTGCTTGAATAAATAAATAAATAAATCTTAAAAAAAAAAAAAGAAAGAAAGAAAGAAAAAGAAGCACAGAGACTTAAGCAGACTCGCATTTTAGAAACTATTCTGGCTATAAATAGAGGCAGGTTAGGAAGCTGCTGGAACATCTAGGGAGAGATGAGAGTGGCCCTTACTAGAGTAGAGGCAATGGGCATGAAGAGAAATTGAAGGTAATTTAGAATTATCTACTTACCAGCTGAGAGGGAGCTCAGACAACTCATCTAATATTTTGTACAGAGTCTGAGGTTACAGAGGGTTAATTGACTTACTCCCTTTCTGCTCTACTTTGCCTTCTTCCTTTGTTCTTTTGTAGTATCTTAAGACATTTTTCAGAATAGCCCAATTAAGACCTTTATCCCTTCACACCTGAACAATTTATTTAATTGAATTTTGCCTTTCTGCAATATATTAGTCCTTTGGTTTGTATCATCTGCTTCTGAAGACAGAGAAGGCTGCTAATTAACTTGCTCTGTAGTGTGCACCACGAATTACACAGCTGGCAGTCATGTGTATAAGGAAAAAAAGTGAGACCTAATGAATGGAGGATGTAAAAAGGCTTTTATGCAGTTATGCGTTTCTGAAAATCTTTTTGAATAGTTTTGAGCAAAGTTGCAGAAGTCAGCAAACTGCAGGACTAAAATGCAACATTCCAAGGCAGGATTTTTAATATTTTTGTATAATCTAAAAGTGAATCTGCTGAAGTCCTCCTAGAAAGAAAAAGCACTCCTAGACATCAACGATCAGAGTTCTTAGGCAATGACTGTGTAAAGGGGCTCTAGATAGTTCTGATAGCAGGCATCACAGTTTCACAGCTCTGAAGCCACTGGTTTGCACTGTTAATCAGTTGCCCTGGGCAACTGCAGATGTTTTAGATCCATAATTTTTTTTTTATTTTTTAAAGATTTATTTATTTATGCATACAGGAACTGGGATACAGGCCAGAGCTGTGGAGGGTGAAAGGACCCACCAGAGACAGAATGAGGAAATAGAAAAGGCAGACTGACCAAAACACACTGCTGAGGGGAGCAGCAATCGAGTCAGGAGAGGTCAGCTGCACCATGTGGGTAGCTCCCTGGCCAGGGATTGAACTCGTGCTGCAGTGGCTGTGGCTAGCTTCCTAAGTTGCATCTTAACCCCTTGCCCCATAAAAATATTTTAATATAAACTCAGTATTGGGCCTCCCTGGTGGTGCAGGAGTTTAAGTCTCAGCACTATGAAGCTATCGCCAGCCACTGCAGCATGAGTTCAATTCCCAGCTGGCCAGGGAGCAACCGACATGGCCCAGCAGACCTCTCCTGTCTTACCTGATCCTCCCCTCAGCAGTGTAATTCAGTAGATCTGCCTGTTCTGCTTCCCTCTCTATGTCTCATGAATCCTCTCACCACCACCACCACCCCACCTCTGGCTTAATACCCCAGTTTTTGTATGCATAAATAAAAATAAATCTTTAAAAATATATGTATAAATTAAATCCTAAATGGTGCACTGCCACACCTGTCCTAAATGCTCCCAAACAGATGAATGGATCAAGAAGATGTGGTATATATACACAATGGAACACAGCAGCAAAATGGATAAACTCATGTCATTTGCAGCAACATGGATGGAGCTGGAAGTGACATATTTTGCTTAGTAAAATATGTCAGAAGGAAAAAGAAAAATATTGGATGGTGTAGGGATAGAAAGGCATAGAGCAGGTTCTCCATGAACCTATGCAGACGGTAAAGGAGCTCTCGGTGGCTTTTTCAGGCTTTTAAATTGAGTTTACCAGGTACACAGAAGGCAGGGATGCTGGGGGGTCAGGAGGCTGGCAGGCCTCCTAGCCCCCTGCAAGTCTTCACTGTTTCTGGGCTCACTGGCGTTCTTGCGTGATTCATGTTCCACTCTTCTGTTTGTTCTCCTTCTGGGGTTCCCATGACAACAACCTTATAGGCCCAGTTCCATCCAGCCCAGGTGAACCTACCTATGTATGTCCACACCCTACTCCAGGTGCCCACCATCAGGTATGCGTTCAGGACCGCAGGGATCCATCATCAACGCTAACGGTGGGAGGGCAGAAAAGCCTGACAATCATTTACTCATTTAAGTGGAATATAAGGAAACCAAACAAAAGGTCAAAAAAAGGACAAAATTTGAAGACAAACCATAGATCTAAAGCATATCACAGTGGAGGGGGAGGGTGAAAACAGGGGAGGGAAAAGCCAAATGGACTAAGGTGATGATTCAAGAATGCTGTGGTAGTGGGAAAATTATGGGGACTACCCCTGAGGGGAGAAATAAAGTATTGTACAAATACGCACAACGATGTAAGAAAAAGGCTGAGGAAAAATCCAGATATACCCGAGTTCTACTCAGCCTGGAAACTCTCTTGTCAATTAATCTCTTTAAAATCAAAATACGGGCCTCCCTGGTGGCGCAAGGGGTTAAGCACCGCCCTATGAAGCAATCCACAGCCTCTGCAGCAGGAGTTCGATCCCCGGCCTGCCAGGGAGCAACCCACATGGAGCAGCAGACCTCTCCTGTCTCGCCCCCCTCAGCAGTGTATTTCAGTCAGTCTGCCTGTTCTGTTCCCCACTCTGTCTCTGGTGAGTCCTCTCACCCCCTGCATCTCTGGCCTGTACCCCAGCTCTTATATGCATAAATAAATAAATCTTTAAAAAAAAATACAATTCATGAAGCACCAAATTTAACAACAAAGCATCTTTCCACAGTAACTGCCCCAGCCCAACTTCTTTTGTACTGAAAGTTCCATTCCAAACAAAAGTAGACGTAGACAAAATGTTAATTTTCCAAAACGTTTATGCTCTTTTCTTCCTATTTTTGCCACACCACTTGCACTGAGGCACTGCGCTGAGGGATCCCTACGAACTCGGGAACTCCCTTACTACACAGACGGTCTCGGTCGCCCAGAGGTCAGATTAAAACCCTGAGCCAGCCGCGGCCGTAGCCCCGCCCCCACGGGGGGGGGGCGCACCCGCCGTCACGCCGAGCCGGGATTGGTCTACGCTTCCAGCTCGCCCGGATCACTCTGTCCAATCAGCGTAGCGCTTGTTGAGTGGCGCAGGCAACCGACGTACACAAGGGGCTTGCGGGGCTTGAGCCGGCTGTGGAGGGAGTGAGAGGTCGGGCCATGAACTTGGGGTGAGTTGGGGCGAGAAAGGTGGGCGTCAGTATTGAGGGAGTGGCTGGGTTAGCTCTTGGTGGAGAACTTTCCCTGCCTGGTCCGCCTGGAGCGGCCATGGCCGACTCCCTGAGGTGGAGAAGGGCACGGGGCCTGGGTCGGCCTTTGCTGCCCCTCAGCCCCGGCTGTTCCCGTCAGTGCCGCGCATTGCGGCTGCCGGCGGCTTGCTCTGCGCCGCCCCCTTTATCTCTCTGTGGGAGCGAAGGAGAGGAGGGAAGCTGTGAGGACGGATGGAGGGAGCAAGCTTAGAGACTTCACGGGGAGAAATTGTGGCCCAGACCTTGGTTCTCTGCCACCCTGCCTTTGGCGTCTCTGCAAGACGCGAGGAAGCCGGTTTCTCAGGGAATCCAGCGTTTAATTGGGCCTCAGTGGTTGAGTGAAAAGGACTGGTGCACCTTCATCCCCGGGAAGTTTAATGTTTTAAGATGAAAAGTCACCGCCGAACTCAGCCCATTGCACATCGTTTAGCAAATAAATTTGGTGTTCTAGAGGTTAGGGATAGAAAAATGAGACTTCGTAGTGCTGAGCACATACTTGGCGGTTTTATGGCATGTCTTGTTGTAGTTCAGTTTCACCAACGTGAACATGAAGTGTTCTTATTAATGCTGTAGCCTTGAGGCCGTGTTTCTACCGTTTTATCTTCAATAAGTAAGTCGAGGTAGTTGATTTTCCCTACTTGAGCAACACCGCAGATTTCGTGTCCTAATCAGACCCTTCCCAATCTCGCTGCCTCAACTGGCCAGCTGCATTTAATTTTGTCTCTTGGACTTCACTTTTTTCCCTGTTGATATGTATTGATCTACACCCTCTCCTGCCCTCACCCCTCCCCCTCGTAAAAGAATGGGTTTCAGCGTTGACTGCTGTTTTTATTTTAAGTGGGTTTTTTTTTTTTTTAGGACCATAATACATGTACATGTTTCATTCACTGAGTTCTGTTACTTTGCTTTTGCATTTGACATTCACAATAAAGTATAGCAGCCCTGTGTTTGTTACTGATTTATTGTTTTGATAGTAACAAGTTTCGCAAAATGTGACTGTGTTATTCACAATATTCAATATAGAGTGGAACTCAGTGCTCAAGTAGATAATAACCCTGGTGGCAAAGTTGAGCTCATTTTAAGGTGAACTTTCCCTAGAATATTAGCTTGGAGATCATTATGAAACTAGTAAATGTGTTTTGCACCGTTAACTTAGCTGAGGAGTTTTGGTAACAGCATTTATTTTTTTTGTTTTTTTTTTTTTTTTTTTCAGATAAACCTGAGTTTATTTTTTATTTTTTTTTTTTATAAATTTTATTGTTATATTCCCCATACAATTGCAGACCCCCATTCTGACCCCAATCCCTCCCCTCCCGCCCCCGCCCGCCTAAAAGTGTCTCTGGTTCATAGTTTTTTGTTGATTTTGATTTTCACTTTCTTATAGTTATTCATTTTCCTGGTCCCTTATTTAAGTTTTCTAGATTCCTGCTATGAGTGAGACCATCCGGTATTTTTCTTTTTCTTTTTGGCTTATTTCGCTGAGCATGATCCCTTCCAGCGCCATCCATGTTGCTGCAAATTGCATGTGTTTATCTTTTTTGAATGCTGAGTAATATTCCATGGTATATATGTACCACATCTTCTTGATCCAGTCATCTATTTTTGGGCATTTGGGTTGTTTCCAAAGCTTAGCTATTGTAAACAGTGCTGCTATAAACATAGGGGTGCAGGTGTTCTTTGGAATTGATGTTTCTGTGTCCTTTGGGTAAATAACTAGGAGTGGAATTGCTGGATCATATGGAAGCTCTATGTTTAGTAGGTCCAGAAATCTCCACACAGCTCTCCACAGTGGTTGGACCAGTTTGCACTCCCACCAACAGTGCAGAAGAGTTCCTTTTTCTCCACACCCTCGCCAGCATTTGTTGTTGCTAGTTTTTTTAATATGTGCCATTCTCACTGGTGTAAGATGGTATCTCATGGTAGTTTTGATTTGCATTTCCCTGATGGCAAGTGATGTTGAACATTTTTTCATATGCCTGTTGGCCATTTGCATTTCCTCTTCAGAGAAGTTTCTTTTTAGCTCTTCTGCCCATTTTTTGACTGGATTATTTTCTTTGTTGTTGCTGAGTCTCATCAGCTCTTTGCAGATTTTTGTGTACAGTCCTTTATCATTAGTGTTGGGTGCAAAAATGTTCTCCCAGTCAGTGGGGTTTCTCTTTGTTTTTGTTATTGTCTCTTTTGCTGTGCAGAAGCTCTTTAATTTGATGTAGTCCCAGCTGTTTATCTTTGCCTTCACTATCACTGCTTTGGGTGATGTGTCTGTAAAGATGTCTTTGATGTGCAGATCACGTAGTGTTTCGCCTATATTTCCTTCTATATATTTTATGGTTTCAGGTCTTATGTCTAGTTCTTTAATCCATTTTGAGTTGATTTTTGTGTATGGTGTGAGGTAGTGGTCAAGCTTCATTCTTTTGCATGTAGCGACCCAGTTTTCCCAGCACCATTTATTGAACAAACTTTCTTTGCTCCAATGCATAGTCTTTGCTCCTTTGTCAAAGATTAGTTGACCATAAATCTGTGGATTTATTTCTGGATTTTCTATTCGATTCCATTGGTCTGTATGTCTGTTCTTGTTCCAATACCATGCAGTTTTGATGATTATGGCTTTGTAGTATAGTTTGAAGTCTGGGAGTGTAATGCCTCCATTCCCTTCTTTTTTTTTCAGGAGAGCTTTGGCTATTCGGGGTTTTTGGTGATTCCATATGAATTTCATCAATAATTGTTCTATTTCTTTGAAGAATGACATTGAAATTTTGATTGGAATAGCATTGAATCTGTATATTGCTTTTGGGAGGATGGCCATTTTAATAATGTTTATTCTTCCAATCCACGAGCAGGGGATGTCTCTCCATTTCTTTGTGTCTTCTTCTATTTCTTTTAACAATGTTTTATAGTTTTCTTTGTATAGGTCCTTTATCTCTTTTGTTAGATTTATTCCCAAATATTTGATTTTTTTTGTTTCAATAACAAAAGGGATGGTTTTTTTGATTTCTTCTTCTTCAGATTTATTGTTTGTGTATAGGAAGGCTACTGACTTTTGCATGTTGATTTTGTATCCTGCCACTTTACTGAACTGATTGATGAGTTGAATTAGCTTTTCTGTGGAGTTTTTGGGGTTCTCTATGTATAATATCATATCGTCTGCAAATAGTGATAGTTTGACTTCTTCTTTTCCTATTTGGATTCCTTGGATGTCTTTCTCTTGTCTTATTGCCCTGGCTAGGACTTCCAGTATTATATTGAAAAGCAGTGGTGAGAGTGGACATCCTTGTCTTGTTCCAGATCTTAATGGAATTGCTTTCAGCTTTTCACCATTGAGAATGATGCTGGCTGTTGGCTTGTCATAGATGGCCTTTATGATGTTGAGGTATGTTCCTTGTATCCCAAGAATTTCAAGGGCTTTTATCATGAATGGGTGTTGCACTTTGTCGAAAGCTTTCTCAGCATCTATTGATATTATCATATGGTTTTTATATTTCTTTTTGTTGATGTGTTGGATAACGTTGATTGATTTTCGGATGTTAAACCATCCTTGTGCCCCTGGAATGAATCCAACTTGGTCGTGGTGAATTATCTTATGGATACATTGTTGGATTCTGATAGCTAAAATTTTATTGAGGATTTTTGCATCAGTGTTCATTAGGGAGATTGGCCTATAGTTTTCCTTTTTTGTGTTGTCCTTATTCGGTTTTGGTATTAGTGTAATATTGGCTTCATAGAACGTGTTTGGTATTGTCCCTTCCTTCTCAATTTTTTGGAAGAGTTTGTGAAGGATAGGCACTAATTCGTCTCTGAATGTTTGGTAGAATTCATTTGTAAATCCATCAGGTCCTGGGCTTTTGTTTTTGGGGAGGTTTTTGATTACCATTTCAATTTCGCTGCTTGTAATTGGTCTGTTTAGGTGTTCTATTTCTTCTTTATCTAGCTTTGGGTGATTGTAGAGTTGTAGGAATTTGTCCATCTCCTCTAGATTGTTGAACTTGTTTCCATATAACTGTTCATAGTAGTTACTGATTATTCTTTTGATTTCTGCTGTGTCCGTTGTGATTTCTCCTCTTTCATTTATGATCCTGTGTATTTGTGCTTTCTCCCTTTTTTCCTTTGTGAGCCTGGCTAGGGGTTTGTCTATTTTATTTATTTTTTCAAAGAACCAGCTCTTGGTTTCATTGATCTTTTGGATTGTTTTTTTAGTTTCAATTTCATTTATTTCTGCTTTGGTTTTTATTATTTCTTTTCTTCTACTGGATTTGGGGTTTTTTTGTTGTTCTTTTTCTAGATCTTTGAGCTTCGAGATTAGGTTGTTTCTTTGAGTTCTTTCTTGTTTTTTGATGTGAGCTTCTATTGCTATATATTTTCCTCTTATTACTGCTTTTGCTGCATCCCATACATTTAGGATATTGGTGTCCTCCTTGTCATTCAATTCAAAGAATTTTTTAATTTCTTCTTTGATCTCCTCATTAATCCAGTGGTCTTCCAGTAGTGTGGCTTTTAATCTCCATGAGGTAGGATAGTTCCTTGCCTTCTTTTTATGATTTATTTCTAGTTTGATGCCTTCGTGGTCAGAAAAGATGGTTGGTATGATTTCAATCTTGGTGTATCTGTTGATGTTTGTCTTGTGCCCCAGTATGTGATCGATCCTGGAGAATGATCCGTGTGCGCTTGAGAAAAATGTGTACTCCGTTTTTTTTGGGTTTAGTGTTCTATAGATGTCTGTTAAGCCCAAATGCTCTAGGTCCTTATTTAGAGCTTTAGTTTCTTTACTTATTTTTTGTCTTGTTGATCTATCCATTGTTGATAGTGGTGTGTTGAAGTCTCCCACTACGTATGTGTTTTCTCTGATGTCTGTTTTCAGAGAGGACAACAGTTGTCTGATATATTTTGGTGCTCTTTCGTTTGGTGAGTATATGTTAATGAGTGTTATTTCTTCTTGAAGTATTGTCCCCTTAATCATAATGTAGTGACCATTGGGGTCTCTTTTTATTTTTTTGAGTTTGAAGTCTGTTTTATCTGATATAAGTATAGCTGTTCCTGCTTTCTTTTTTGGCCCATTTGCTTGTAGGATTGTTTTCCATCCTTTGACTTTGAGCCTATTTTTATCTTTTGTAGCTAAATGTGTTTCCTGGAGACAGCAAAAGGTTGGGTTTTGTTTCTTAATCCAGGCTGCAACTCTGTGTCTTTTTATTGAAGAGTTTAGTCCATTTACATTTAGAGTTAATATTGATATGTTAACATCTGTATTTGCCATTGTGTTTGTCTTTCCTTTGATTTTATTTATTTATTCTTTTAATAACTTTTTTTTTTTTTGGCCTTCTTTCATTGTTATTCGTCCCTCTGAGGTTCTGGCTTTAGGACTCCTTGTAGTATTTTTTGGAGTGGGGGTTTAGTTGCAATGAAATTCCGGAGTTTCTGTTTGTCTGGGAAGGTCCATATTCTTTCTTCAAAGAGGAAGGAGAGCTTTGCGGGATAGAGTATTCTTGGTTGGCATCTGTTTTCTTGGAGTCTGTTGACTATGTCCCTCCACTCTCTCCTTGCCCGTAGTGTTTCTTCGGAGAAGTCTGATGTCAGCCTGATTGGCTTTCCTTTGAATGTTATCTGTTTCTTCCCTCTTGCCAGCTTCATTATTTTTTCCTTGTCCTGGATTCTTGGGAGCTTTACTATTATGTGTCTTGCTGTATTTTTTCTTTCGTCGTGGAAGTTTGGTGTTCTTCTTGCTTCTTGTATATCAATTTTCAGCTCCTTCTTCACATTTGGGAAGTTCTCTTCAATTATCTCTTTGAATATTTTCTCTGTTCCTACTTCTCTCTCCTCTCCTTCTGGTATTCCTATAACTCTTATATTTCCTTTCCTCATGGAGTCAGATAATTCCCGAAGTCTTTCTTCATTCTTTTTCCTTCGTACTTCTCTTTCCTTTTCTGTTTTGGTTCTTTTTATTTCTGTGTCTTCAAGAGCACTTATTCGTTCTTCCATTTCATCAATTCTACTTTCATTGCTTTTCCCAGAATTCTTTAGTTCTTCCACTAATTCTTTGATCTCCTGCATTTCTTTTACTTCCCTCTTTAGGGACTCAATTTCATTCTTCTGATCGTTGATTATTTTTCCCTTATCATTGTTTTCCTTTATGACTTCTGTCAGTTTTTTAATCACGGCAATTTTAAATTCTCTTTCTGGAAGGCTCAGAAGTTCTTCCAAGTTACTGTCGTTGCAATCTGGGGGCTGGTTTTCTTTTTGTGGTGTGCTTTTTCTCTGGAGAGTTGCTAGGTTGCGTGTGGTTCTTCTCCTCCCTACTGTCTGTTTTCTAATTTGCCGTATGCGTTGGACACTGTGTTGTTGGGACTGGCCGGCATCTTGGGTGGGCTTCTCTGCTCCCCTCTGGTTCCTCCAGGAGTCATCTGTCAGGTTCAAGCAGTCTTTATTGGAGAAAGGTCCCTGTCCTAAAATGTCGATGTGGGGACACACTCCCCTGTGCGCCTGGTCTGCCCCGGCGGTGGGTTCCTGCTCCCCCTCTGGGCTTGGACTGCAGGCCAGAGGGGGTCTGGCGTGGGCGAACTTCCCCCGCTCACCTCTGGCTCCTGAGGAAGCCTTCTGCAGGTAGTCTTTACTGAAGAAATGTCCCTGTTCTAAAATGGTGATGTGGGACACACTCCCTGCGCGTCCGGTGTCAGGCACACTCTTCTGCGTGCCTGGTCTGCCCTGGCTGTGGGTGCTCGCTCTCCCTGTGGGCTCAGACTACTTGTTCGGAAGGGGCTGGGTGTGGGCTAACTCCCCAGCTGGCCACTAGTTCCTTCAGGAGCCTGTGCTGTCTACAAGTCGCTAGGTGGCGCCAAAGATCTCTCCTAGAGCCCTTGGGGAGCTGATTTTCCACGCCGTGGGACAGGGAGCAAAGTGGGGATGGTAGGGTACACCTCAACGGCTTTGGGGTGCTGTGTCTGCCTTGTGCCCCACCGTCGTGGGGAACCCACGCCCCTAATTTCGTGCCCCGGGTCTCAGTTCCAAAGCCCTCAGTTCCAGGACGCGGGCTGTAGCCCAGTTCAGTGGCGCGGGAAGGGCGCCTTTTGCACCGCTCCCGTGTCTGGGCACCTGGTTCCTGCTCACTCAGGGAGGGACCTTCACCTCAGTGAGGACCTCTGCGCCTCCCCGCAAGCCTAGGTCGTCTCCCAAGCCTAGGTCGCAGGCGCGGGGACCTGGGCAGCCGAGATCCTGGTCTGCACTTGCTTTTCAAGCGCGCCGAGCGCGCCGCTATCCGCGCAAGCTTACCGGCAGCCCGGGCTGTGTGCGCGTCTCCCGGGGTCTTTGTTCTTCTCTAATGGCGCCCGGAGCCGTTCGCTCACCGCCGCGGCGAATCCTGCAGGGTTCTCCACAGCTCCCGTTCACGGGGTGTGGTGGCTGAAATAGTTCCTTTCCACTCACAGTCCCGCTTGCTGCGTCCGTTTTTCTTGTTGGCCGTTTTGGTTTGTTGTTTCCTCCCCTCTGCCGGTCGGAGAGTGCAGCCTCTGTGGGCGGGGGAGGGGAGCAGGGTTCTGTGCTTCCCTCCCTTCTCGTCCTCTTTTATGGCCACTTTCTTCTTCGGGCAGTTTGCTGGAGTCACCCGTTTATCTTCCGTGTCCCAGTTCTCACTGGGACCTGCCGCTTTTCCTCCCTATTCACTTTTTTTAATGGGAGATCTTACTCGCAGCGTCTCCTCGCCGCCATGTTGCTCCGCCCCCTTCTCAGCATTTATTTTTTTTAAATCTGGAGTTTCGTAAGAATTAAATGATGGTATGATAACTGAATTAGTTTATTGCTAACTGGTAATAAAAAGAAGTTTCTCTTTAAAAATAGCAAATTCTTGTATTAATGAAAAGTTTCAGGAACTTCATCCTAGTGGTTTTTAGTTTTATCTTATATTGAAAAATATTTTTAATTAAAACAATGCTTTCATATTTTTAAGATTACTGTGTAAATTCAAAAGAACAGATTTACTTTCAAGGTATATTTGCACATTTCTAGCTATTTAAAATGTTGCTCTTTCTTAAAAAATGACAGAAACTTTCTTTTATTTTGCAGTGATGGTTTAAAGCTTGAGACTGAATTGTTGGATGGAAAAACCAAGCTAATATTATCTCCATCTGGTATGCTCTGTTACTGGGAATCTAAAATGTTAACTTTTAAATTTCTACATAAAATTTGTGATAGTTCAACCAAAGACTTTTTGCTTGTGGTAGAGTGATATTTAAATAATATTTTGAAAAAAATCTGTTTTCCTTAACTTCCTCAAATTTATTTTTAGCCAGATTGCATCGCTGTTTACCACTACCACTGTCAGTATTTATAAATCTTCATAAAATGTAATGTTTAGCATATTTCATGTATAACATAGTCGTCATATTTGCATATGGCAAGTATATGTATTTGCATAATCTAGGTGAAATTTAATTTGTTGCATGTAAAGAATGTATTGTTAGAGAAAATTAAATTTATAGTAAGATCACAGTTGGTGAAATCATGTAAAAATCAGTGCATTTTGGTAATTTTTCATTTTTTTTTTCATTTGTTCTTATAATTTTACCTTGAAACTAAAACAAAAATGAAATAAGAACACTTGAACCACATTGTAAAAGTTAAAACACGTAGGCAGCACCTCAAGTCAATGCTTTGAGGATTGTATTTCTACTTAACATCTTAAAACAATGCTAATTAACTTTTTTTTTTGTGAGTACCTTAGCATGTTTTTGGTTGATAGTTTAGTAATTTTTTCTTTCTCTTGTAGAACGTAAATCAAAAATTTCTGTGAAGGTAAGCCAAATGCCTTTGATGTGACCTATTTTCAAATGTGAAATGCAATTTTTTTTACAGTTATTTGAAAAATAATTTCTGTCAAAATGTAATAAGGGGCCTCCCTGGTGTCGCAAGGGGTTAAGCACTGCATTATGAAGCAACCCACAGCCTCTGAAGCATGAGTTCGATCCCCCAGCCAGTCAGGGAGAAACCCACATGGTGAGGCAGACCTCTGCTGTCTAGCCTGCTGCTCCCCTCAGCAGTGTATTTCAATCAGTCTGCCTGTTCTGTTACCCACTCTGTCTCTGGTGGATCCTCTCACCCCCCACATCTCTGGCCTGTACTCCAGCTCTTGTATGCATGAATAAATCTGTAAAAGAAAACATGTAATAAGGAGTTTGGAATAATGGTGAGCAGTTACTATTCCTTTTTAGGCTGATCCTTTCACAGAAATGAAACCCTAATTTTCCAGTTTAAAAAACCTCCTAGAAGCTTTTCTCTAAATTAGTACTATCCAGAAAGCTTTCTGTTATGGTAGTAAATGTTCGAAAATTTGTAGCCAGTTACTAACCATGTGTGGTGCTAGTGTGACTAAGGAAGTGCACTTAAAATTTTTAGAATTTTTTAATTTAATAGCTACTGTACTGGATAGTGCAACTCCTGATATCTTTAAAAAAAGATGTTCAGGGGGCATCCCTGGTGTCCTGAGGGTTACATCTCAGTGCTGTCATGGCTTGGGCCTGATTTCAATCCCAGACAGGTAGCTAACCCACACAGTGCGCAACAGACCTCTCATCTTGCCTGTTGCTCCCCTTAGCAGTGTATTTCAGTAAATCCACCTGTTCTGCTCCCCACTCTGTTTCTGGTGAATGATCTCATCACCCCCCTATCCCCACCCCACCTATACCCCAATTCTTTGCAAAAAAAAAAAAAATATATATATATATATCAGACTTTAATACTTTTTTCTTACTCAAATTCCATTTTCCCACATCAATAGTAATTTTATTTGATTCATATATTCTTACATGCATTTAGCTTTCTCCTTTAAGATATCAAACTTGATGGTTTTCCTTTTAAATTATTTTTCTTTATCAGGAACCCATAGTGTCTTTCTCTGCAAAATACATTACCACTTCAAATGTTTATTTATTGATACCACTGCTTTTCTGATTTCCATTTTATGACATCAACAGAAATTTCTCTACCCTCGTCCATAACTTACAGTAGCCTCTTTTATCCCTTTATCTTTACAGCATCTTCCAGTCTTTTTTTACATGTCTGTAAATAGAGCCCACTTTGGATGATGTGGCGCTTTCCCTTCAACTCTCAGACCTTGATGGCTTTGCTGTTTGTTCCAGGTTTTATGAAGGTGGACAACTTGCTTGAGTACCCAGCATATCAACCTCTTAATAAATAATGATGAGAATAATTGTGTAAGCGTCCTAGTAAAATTATGTTCCTCTATATATAAATATATATTTATATACCTATATGTTCCCTTAATCACAGAATACAGATTTTATTTTCTGGCCCTATTAAAATACTACTGTTTCTGAGTCACACTAACAAATACAGTGACCATTTCAAGCTTCTAGATGACTACTTGTAATTGATGTCTCTGTTCTTTCATGTGTTCTTTCTTCCATTAATGACCTTAATGGATTTGTGGTCTCCACACTTGTGAAAACATTTGTCTTTTTAACCAACTTAGCAGATCTGGAGAGCCCCATTCATCCCCAAAATGATAGTCATTTTGGACTTTTTTTTAGAATCATTATAAAAGTCTATCGGGGGTTAGGAATATGTTATTCTAGGATTCTTTTTTTCCCAGAGTAATAGTGACTTTATTTACTGTCTTAGCGCAAATTGTTGGATTTATCCCTCTTGCTTTTGGGACTCCAAAATGCTGATACATAGTAACCAAGTGAGGTAATGGATTAATTTAGTTGTGATTATTTCATAATTTATGCCTGTACCTGATTATCGCCGTATACACCATGCACACTTTTTTTTTCTTCTATATAGTGTATTACAAATCAGTAAAACTGGGGAAAAATACTAATGCAACCTTCTACATTGATTTTATTTCAAGGTGTTTTTCTCTGCCCTTAGGAAATTGCTGAAATCTTCCTCATTCTATTCTTTGCTCTTCACAAAAGACAAAAACTAAAATCAGTGGCATTTGTCTTTTTTCTTTTAATCTATGTTTCAGTCTTTCAAATCTCATAATTTCATAGTAATTTTCTTTAAGTTAATCCTGAATTCTCTTCATAGTGTTTTTCTTCTTTCCTTCTATTGGGTTAAGCACCGGAAAACTACAACACTTACCTCAGATTCTTCCTTACAGGTTAAATTACTCTTATTTCCATAGTATGTACTTTAAAACACAGGTGAACTCTATCTCATCATCAGCGAGTTTAACACCTGTGTGGTCAGAGAACTTAATTCTCTCAATCTCTCCTGCATTTCTCTGTAATCTGTAGTAGTAAATATGAAGTAAAAATGGGTACCAACCTAATTTCTTAAGCTTATGGGAAGAGAAATGAAATATTAAATTGTTCAGTGTCATGGGTAATTTATACATTCTAAACTCTTGTATTTAAAATTGGCTTGCAATTAATTGAAATATAAAAAACATTTATTTTGTTTACAAGTATTAGAGTCAATAGGACACACCTAAGGATGTAGTTGCTAGGTAGTTGCTAAGTAGCACATTTTATTATTTTTAAATGTTAATTTTCCCTGATTCTTTCTGGTCTTGGGTTCCTAGCCCTATATTACAATGTGAAGTCAACCAGTATTAAGCATTTGCATCGAAAACTATCTTTATATCATGAAAATATCAGCAGAATTAATGATTGGAAATGGAAATCACTTGGGAAATTATTTGGGCTAGGTTGCTCTAATTTAAGTAACCTGAATATAATTGAATCTTTATTTGGTAATTCATGATATTTTGCTGCCTCCATTGATTGTTTTTCCTTGGGGTTAAGGCTACAAAAGGTATTCAGCATTGAGCTGATGTGTATTTTCAAGTCATTGTCCCCCCCCCCTTTTTATTAAATATTTTAGGAGATTTTTCTTGTATATTATTTCTGATGTAAGTAGAATGTGACCCAAAGATTATAAAGCTCCAGTTAGTTGGTTTCTGTTAACAAGAATTTACTGCAGCTATAAAAATATGTATGTAGAGCTCCATTCTGGCTTTATTTGTTCTGTAGCTGAGGGGAAAATATAAGTAAAACCTAGTTCCTGTTTCCTGGAAATGGGGTATTAGGTAAATAATGACAGCTATACAAGTAGAATAAAATGAAAGTGATCGTAGGGTTAGAAAAAAGGAGAAATCATTGAAAAGACCAGCTTTGTGGTTTGAAGACACCAGGAGATGCTTCACAAATGAGGTGACATTTTAATTAGAACTCAAGAGATGGGGGAGATATTTATAGTCAAAGAATTAGGGATGTGTATTATAAGCTTAATGAAAATAATGGGCAAAATACTGAGATAACATAATTTGTGTTTGCAGAATAGTGTGTACCTCTGGGGGAAGTATAGAACATAAAGCTTAAGGAGGGTTACATGAGAAGTTTAAATGTTTAGTCAGAGGGTTTCCCCGGTGGCACAGTGGGTTAAGACGCAACCTATGAGGCTGACCACAGCCACTGCAGCACAAGTTTGATCCCCTGGCTGTCCAGGGAGCAACCCACATGGTGCAGCAGACCTCTTTTGACTTGCCCGCTGCTCCCCTCAGTAGTGTATTTCAGTCATTCTGCCTGTTCTGTTCCCTACTCTGTCTCTGGTGAATCCTCTCACTACCATCCCCCACCCCCGCACCTCAGACCTGTACTCCAGCTCTTGTAAGCATAAAAATAAATCTTAAAAAAAAATTAAAAAAAAATAAATGTTTAGTCAGAGTGTAGATGTTGCATGTAGAGACCTTTAAGGAATTTTTGAAAAATGGAGTAGGTCTAATTCATGTTGTAGGAAAGGACTTTGGGCAGATCTGTGAAGAACAGATTATTATAACTGGGAGACCAGTTAAGGTACAATTATAATAGTCTAGGGATTATCTTAAGAGTTCCTGAACTTGAATGGTGGCTGACAGAGTGGAAAAGAAATGAGAGGCTTTCAAAATAGTTAAGGGAATGCAATACACTTAGCAGTTTGAGTGAGATAAACTGATTAGAGAATCTGAATGTTCAACTGTTACAGACCCAAGTAAAGGCCAGTATGACTGAGGGTGAGATTAGCAGGAACTGTAGTACTTGGAGACTCACTGGGGTGGGGCAATCTCAGATGTGTAAAGTACGTGCAGTCTGCTGATGATTTGCTTAACACACAATGGTTTTCAAAAGTAGAATGACTTGCCTTTGTCAAAAAAGTTTGCTGTAATTACTAGCATTTTTGGTTCTCTTGAAATACCAGATTATTTGGCAACTAGACTCAGATTCTTGGTTGGCAATGCATACTGGCTCTGATTGGTGGCTGCTCCTTTACTTTATAAATTTTTTTTGAAATTTATGCATATAAGAACTGAGGTGTAGGCCAGAGGTGTGGGTGGGGGATGGGATGGTGGAGAGAGGATTCACCAGAGACAGAGTGGGAAACAGAGCTGGCAGATTTCCTGAAATACATTGCTGAGGGGAGCAGTGGGCAAGACAGGAGAGGTCTGCTGTGCCATGTGGGTCAGCTCCCTGGCCGGAGCTGGCAACAGCTTTAGAGCGCTGTCTTTAGCCCCTGTGCCACCAGGAAGGCACCCTTATAGCTATTTTAATATAAATAATTCTTTAAATGTGGGGGTTGAAATACCTACTGTAAATTAGGCTCGGGGATGGGAGTGGGGGGAACTAAGATGTACTGCAAAGCACCTTTTCCATCTAAAAGACGCAGCCACCGGGGCCTCCCTGGTGGTGAAGAGGTTAAGCTATTGCCAGCCACTGCAGCATGAGTTCAATGCTGTCGCCCAATGCTCCCTTCAGCAGTGTATTTCAGTCAGTCTGCCTGTTCTGTACCCC